GATTTTCTACAGTAAATCAATTCTCATTTTCAACCACACATTCTTCAATAAAATAATATTTTCCATCACATCAATAATTTTTTCTTCTTTTTCAACCACACATTTCCCATCATATCACTATTCAAAATCAATTCTTCCCTCAAAAATCCCTCCCAAACAAGCTCTTAATTTAACAATAAATTGGGCTTCACCATCCAAGTTTTTAAACAAAATTGCAAACCATTGAAAAGAAACATGCAACACGTTAATCTGGATATATATCTGTGTTTTGTGAAAGTTAGATAAAATATGGTAGTTTTTTCCAATCAGATACTCCATGTGTATTTTTGTTTAAAATTTAACTATAATGGTAGTAAAACCTAAGAATATTAGAAACAGGCATTCTACCGCAGTAATAACCTACAATCATTATGGTCAAGCTTCTTCATAAAATCACATCCATGAGCATATTACGCACATGTAGCATCCGGTTAATGGGAGGTAAGTTGCCTAATTCTAGGCTTAAAAAGTTGATTATTTGCCTAGTTCAAAACACACAAAACCCACAGAGGAGTATTACACTACTATTCAAACAGAAATGGAAGATAAGTATTACCTCAAATCCTGCATTATCATATTGCCTCTTTTTCTCTGGATCTGATAAAATGCTATAAGAATATGCAACCTCCTTGAAAAGATCTGAAGCTTCGGGATTATTAGCATTCTTGTCCGGATGGTACCTATAGATAACAATTGATTATCTCATCCATGAAATCTATATGAACTACTTTGATCCACATTCTCTCTTTCCTTCAAGTTTACTGCTATGTAACTTTATGTTGGAACAAAGGACCATTCACAGATGCCTTAACACATGCAACAACTTTGTTATCACTGCGCTGTGAAACTTCCAAAGCCCATTTACCATTCTTCTTCCTTTTATCCTTTCGTAATTTTAACTAAAGAAAGTCATTAACAGATTAACTCAGCTGCAACTTTAACAGAAATTGAGCCTATGACCTAAACGATACTTTTTGAAAGCACTCTCAAACAGAAAGGCTAAAAATTTATCACCAAATAAAATAAGAATTCTTAAAATGTGAAACATTTTAACCTTTATATTGCCAGTAAACACAATGAAAACAAAATTTGACCTTAACTCCAAGATGAAACTCATCTGTTTAACAAAATTGCATGCAAATATAAGAAAAAACCAAAAATTCTTAAAAATAAGTATCAAATTATCCAACCACACCAATCATGAAACACACATTTGCTGAAAATAATCTACTTACTCAAAACTCAAAAGATGAAAAAAAGAAATTGAAACTCACTTGAGAGCAAGCTTTCTATAAGCAGTCTTGATTTCTTGATCAGAAGAATCCCTTGACACACTCAACACCTCGTATGGATCCCGGCGCAATGCAGGCGCTGAAGATCCCTCCATCTTCGATCCGCCCATTCTTTCACACCCTAACTCACCTCTTCTATACCCTTCTTTCAATATTTTCTTTCCCTTTCACCAAAGTTTGTTTCTTTTACTTCCTGCAAAATTGTCCTTCTAGCTATATTATGTATAACAATCAGACTAAAATCCTGTCTGCAAATGCGCGAGCACAAATTTTCAAGAAACAAATTTCATTAAATACAAAACCTAAATCGTTACAAAAAAGAGCTAGATTTGGGGCATGAATTTCAATCCATTGGATCACTTCAAATTTTTCATGGGATTAACGCAAAATTATTCAGTAATTAATTGGTCCCAACAGTGAATAATTAAAAAAAATTACTGAATAAGATCTACCACAGAGAGGATTCAAAGTATCAATAACGCACATATACGCACATGCTTAGATAGATGGAAACATATTGGAACAAAATAAAATTTGGGTTTCGGGAAAATTACATGCGGTTATTTATCTTGATTTGCTTCTTCCTTTTTCCCCCTTGCAATGATTTCAGCTGGTCAGAAAAATAATAATAATAATAATGGAGTAATATTCATGTACGATTACAACTCCAAAAAAAAAATAGGATCGTCTGTGCGCGAGTGCTTGATAAGGTGTCAATTGTCAAAGTTTGAAATTTTGAACTCTTCCTTTTTATTTATTTATATTATATAACAGTTATTAATATTTATGGCAAATTTATGGAAAAGGTATATTTTAGTACTATGGCATCCTTTTTCACACGAGATGCTGCTTGTACATAAATAAAATCAACAGAAAATTTTCAAAATAGACTCACATGTTGTCCTGCGCAATTTATTTTTTTTAACTACACGGTGGGGCTCACTGTTTGTGTGTATTCTGGTGAGTTTCTGTTGTTTTCTTTATGTACAAGGAGCAAAATACTTTTCACATTTTGTCCATGTTTGTCATCCATTTTATCAAACATTGTTTTTTACAGTAAACAATCGCCACAACATATTTACTCAATAAAATATTCTACACACAAATCAATAAAATTACTTTACTTTTCAATCACACATTCTCCTAAAAATACTAGTCAAAACTATAGGTCCGTTCGGTAGTGATTAAAATCTAATTAAAATTGAAAATATGACCGTTATTGATCCCACTCGTCTAATAAAAGTCAACAATAACGGCTATTTTTTCAATTTTAATCTGATTTTAATCCCCACCGAACGGGCCCTATTATATTTCTTCTCCCAAAATGGGAGACAAACAAGCACTTTAAGCCTCTGTTTGAGCCACATTATTTTTTTATTATCATTCTTCTACTTATTTTCAACTACACATTCTTAAATAAAATAATTAAAAGGTACTGTAGTTATTAAATCTTTCTTTTTTAACCACTTATTTCACATTACATCACTTCAAAAAATGCATTCTCTCATTTTAATATGTACCACACACTCTAAATTTTAAATATGGTGAAAATTACGAAAGCACGTCCATTTCAAATGAATGGACCATGTCAAATGTGAAAATAAAAAGTCTCCTTTTTCATTCCTTTATTTTTTTTTATTCCTTCTTTGTATTTTTTGATCGAAATTTTCTATAACCTGTTTGATAGGCCCTTTTTTTTCCATGGAAAATGGAAATTCCATCTTCCACTTTATGCCATGTTTAATAGCCAAAACTTTTCATGGAAACTATTTTCCTCCCACCCCGATGTGGCCCACTTTTCCTTGTTTTTGTTGAATTGGTTTTCCCGCTACTTCGGTGAAAATGGTTTCCAGTCCTTTTTTATTATTATTATTTTTTTGGCAATAAAAACAAATTCTATAGACAATTGTGAAAAAAATTCCCCTTAATAGACAATTTTCATGAAAAATAAAGTCAAACGAACACCAAAAAATCTAAAATTTTAACATTTTTCAGGTGAAAAATTATACCAATCAAATACAATTAATTGACAATTCTCATAAAAACAATTCTAGACAATTTAATTTCCTACAATTCAGTTTCTTTTCACCCAAATTTCACTCTTACAATCAAACGAACTCGAAAAGATTATAAATGAGAAAGAGGACGTCTAAGAAACAAGGAAAGCGTACTGGGCATGAAAAGAGTTTAGCAATGAAGGAATGAGTGACTAATATTGTAAGAGTACATAGTACATATGAACGATTTGCGAGTGGGATTTAAAAAAAAAATCACGAAACTCGTCTTTTCTAATTAAGATACATTAGAGATCTGATTTTTATAGAATTGACTTCTAAGGCTCTGTTTGATAGGCAACATTTTCCATGGATTTTTCATTTTTCAACTTTTGCAGTGTTTGATTGGGAAATTTTTTTCTCACTTTCTCTCACACGTGCACATTTTCCACCTTTTTGTTGAAATTGTTTTCCCATCTTTTAGGTGGATTTTCATTTTCCAACTTTTTTTTTTTTTTTTGGGAAAAAATTCTAGACCCAATTGGTAAAAAAAATTTATCACTTTTAAAAATCCTATTTCACCTTTTCCTTTTTTTTTTTTTTTTGAAAATGGAAACAAATTTCATAACCAATTGTAAAAAAAAATTCACTTTAATAGACAATTTTCATGTAAAACAAAACCAAACAAATGGTATTCGGTATGGTAATTTTAAAAAAAAAAAATTTTTTTTGGCAAGTTAAACAAATTCTAAACCTAATGGTAAAAAAATTATCACTTTAATGGATAATTTCCATGAAAAATAAAGTCAATCGGACACCAAACTTTTAACATTTTTTAGGTGGAAAATTATACTAATCAAACACAATTAATTACAATTCCCAATAAAACAATTTATAAACAATTCAATTCCCTATAATTCATTTTCTTTCCATCAATTCTCCACATTTACAATTTGATTGCAAATGTGGAAAATGAGTGAAAAGAAAATATTTTACATGAAATTGATTTGTTTAGAAATTGTTTTATTGGGAATTGTGGTTAATTGTGTTTGATTGGTATAATTTTTCATGAAAAATGTTGAAAGTTTGGTGTCTGTTTGGTTTCTTTTTTTTATGAAAATTGTCAATTTAAGTGATAATTTTTTCTACTATTGGGTCTATAATTTGTTCCAATTACCAAAAAAATTGAAAAAAAAAGTATCATACCGAATATCATTCATTTGACTTTGTTTTGTATGAAAATTGTCAATAAAAGTAATAATTTTTTTACCATTGCGTCTAAATTTTTTTCCAATTGCCAAAAAAAAAAATAAAAAAAAATCTAACAAATATTTACCAACCAAAACATCAAGCATTTGTTTTCCTCAAAAAAATGAAAAATTTGGAAAGTTTAAAAATATTTTCCCGGGAAAATGTTGCCTATCAAACACTACAAAAGTTGAAAAATGGAAAAAAAATGAAAAGTATGGTGTATCAAACGGAGCCTAAGAGTTTTATATCAATGAAATTTTTTATAGTTAAGTGGTTTTTCACACTTTGACTAGTGAAATGAATGTCGTCAAAAATATCGTCTCTGAGTTCACCTCTCATATTTTGGAGGAAATTTTAGTTTAATATTATTGTTTGAAGCTGTTTAAATAAACTAGTTTAAATTTGTTAAGCTTGAAAATCTTTTTCTAAGTCTAGTTAATAAAAACAAATTGAATAGCTAATCGTGTTACATTTGTTATCATATATAACATATTTAGAGAAATAATCTTCTAAATACCGTTCTTAGTTTATGTTAAGTATAATTTGATGGATAAAAATTTTAAGATTTAAATTAAATTTATTTCAGACCCTTATGAGAGTAGGTACTTATGAGAACTAAATAATAAAATGTAACTGTTCAATTTTTTTGTAAAATTGTAAAGACACTTCTTGAATCAAGAGATTTCCATTATATTCGTTTCTTTTTCCTTTTTCTAGTAGCCAAAAACATCATAAGTGGAATCTCTTGTATCTTGCAAGCTAAATACTCAAGGTTTGGCAAAAGAATGGGGAAAAGAAAGTTTCTATGATGCACAACACATAATCGTACGAGGGTTTTAATTTATACAAGGTACATGTTTTTGGATTATCAATCATTTGTCTCTACTTATCCTCGACAACTTTGACTACATTTAAAGTAGTGATGTAAAACCACAATTTTTGTTGTCCCTTGTCGAATATTTTCAAGAAGGAAGAGAAACAATTGGAAAGTATGAATCCCTATGTAATTCTAAATAAATGGATTCGCTCAAAACTGGACAGGTTGCTTACTCGAGTGAGTATTGTAATTAAGGAAGAAAATAGTAAATAAATCAGCATCTAGGGCCAATGGAAACTGAATGGAGACTGTTCTCTCTTTTCTATTTAGCAATTGGACATCAACTCTATTCTATTCCAGACAGTGATACAAAATTTTGGAACAATATCGAATATTTACTAGATGCCAGAAGATTAGAATATATAAGATTTGAACTTATTTTTCTTCCTCAACAGTCCCAGGATATGTAATCCCAGTTACCGAACCGAACAACCATCAATGACCACCGGAGATCGATAGTTAATTATGTCAAACAATTAGGATCGCTGTCAACCTTGATGACTCTGGTATTATAAGACCCACAAAAGCCGCACTTGTGATACAGCCAATGAAATGGTGCACTTCCCTTCTTGTCACAATCATTGCATAATATGTCCTGGGCATACCAAATTTAGTTCCTCAACCACTGGTTTAACAAACAAATGAGCAGAAAGAAACGTTGGTAATGTGAATTCATGCTTACTTGACAGCGGTTCCTATATTCTTCCGGAAGCACCTCCGAAGCCATTAAAGCGTCAAGCATGCCAAAGTAGACCTGGATAGGAGAAGCAGAATACGATCTTCAAGTTAACTTGTATACATTAGCAGTATAGAAAAATAGCAGACACCAGAACATTCCTGTGGCCCTCTGGTATTGACTCCACCAACCCCTCACCCACAACCCACAGAAAAAGAAAAATTGAAAAAGAAAGTTGTTCATCATCCTATTGATCCTGAATGACTAACTGCATTACCCAAAGGAAGAACAGGCATAAAAGTATTTTTAATC